CAGAAAATAGCCCTTTGAAAAAGAAACAACCTCAATACCGAGAAAATACTGCAATGGACCCAGATCCTTCATCTCGAATGTGCAGAAGACATGCTGCTTGAACTTAAAGATAGCAGCAGAGTCAAAGTCAGTAATGATCATATTATCCACATATAGTAAGAGAGCAACAAAACCAGCCGAGGTATGTCTCAGAAACAAAGCAGAGTTGGAAGCAAAAGGATGAAACCCAAGCTCAGTAATAGCAGTCTAAAAGCGATCATACCAAGCACGAGGAAATTGCTTCAAACCATACAGAGCATGCCGAAGATGACAAACCTAACCAAAAGAGTGGGGAAGGTCATGGGGTGGACACATGTAAACCGCCTCAGTGAGATGAACGTTAAGAATGAGATGACCATTAAGAAAAGCATTCTTAACGTTCATCTAATAGAGAGGCCAATGTCAAATAGCAGCAACAGAAATTAAGGTACGGACAGTAATCATCTGGGCAACAAGGGCAATGGTCTTCTCATAATCAATACCACTCTTGCGAGAAACTCTTGGCAACCAGGTGAGCTTTATATCGCTTGAGAGAACTATCAGAATAAGTCTTGACTTTATAGACCCATTTGCAACCAACCAGATTCTTGTCAGTAGGCAACGGGACCAACGCCCAGGTGTTAGTCTGCTGCCAGGCAAACAACTCATCCTCCATAGCTCGAACCCAATTGGGATCCTGACAAGCCTACTTGTAAGACTGAGGTTCTAAAAAATAATGAATAGCAAATAAAAAAGTACGATAAGAAGCAAAAAAAACATGTATTAGACCAACCCAATCTGTTTGGAGGATGACACTCTCGAGTAAGATATCGATGTGCAACAGGATTAGAGTCATCAGAAGCAGGAGGATTAGCAGTAGGAGCAGAGACAACTAGTGGAGGGAGAGCCTAGCGACGAGAATAAACTAACAACGGAGGAGGAGAAGGAGAAGGAGCAAGCTAGGGGGAAGAGAAAATAGAGTAGATTCATGGGATTCAGTGGAGAAAGACTCGGCATGAGGGGTGGTAGGAGGAGAGGAGGGAACAAGTTCAGGAGGAACAGTAAAGATATACTCATCATGAGGAACCTCGAAATGAAATGGATCAATATGAACCAAATCCTCTTTGGAAATAGAAGCAGTGATAGGAGAAAGCTGAAAGTAAGGCAGATGTTCGAGAAAAGAAACATGACAGGAGATATAAAGACGATGGGAAACAGGGTCATAACACCGATAACCTTTCTGAGTAAGACTATAACCTAAAAAGACACCAGGGACAAACCGGGCACTAAGTTTGGTCCGATCTTTGCGGGGAAGAAGGACAAATAGGAAAACCCAAACACACAAAAGAGGGAGTAATTAGGAATTTGAGAAAACAAAGCCTTATAAGGAGACCGACCAAAAAGAAGGGGAGTAGGCAAGCGGTTGAGAAGAAAACCAGCAGTAAGAACTACCTCTCCCCAAAACGGAGCCGGAACTAAGATAGAGAGAAGAAGAAACCTAGTTGTCTCAAGGAGATGACGGTGTTTACGCTCGGCTCGACTATTTTAGGCAGGTGTATCTGTACAGGAAGTTTGGTGAATGATATCCAAATTGGCCAAATACTCACAGAACTCATTTTTAAAATATTTCTCACCCAAGTCAAATCGTAACACTTTAATTGTAGACCCAAACTGAGTAGTAATCATAGACTGAAAGGTATGGTATATTTGATAGAAATTGGACTTATGAGTCATAAGATAAACCCAAGTATAATGGGTGCAGTCGTCAACAAATGACATATAGTATGCAGAACCCCCTTTGGTGAGAATAGGAGAAGGGCCCCAAACATCAGTATAAACGAAAGAAAACAGTGTATCAGATAGAGAAGTACTTTTATGAAAAGGTAAGGCCGTCATTTTGGCAAGTTTACACCCTCGACATTCAATAAGTTCACTAGGAGAAACTTTACCCAATATACCTGATTGAGTTAAAGACCGTAAGCAGTTAGCAGACAAATGCCCCAATCTAGAATGCCACAAGTAGAAAAGACTGGACAGAGAATCTAACTAAAAAGAGGAAAAGACAGTCGGAGAGGTTGTCATAGGCAGATGCAAGCTCACCACCATATAGAGGTCTCCAATTCCACGACCAGTCCTAATCTGTTGCTTTGACATCCGATCCTACACAGAGATAGAAAAAGAAAAATAACATCAAAACTGGAGGCATCAAGTTGACTGATAGATTATAAACTGACAGATAATTGAGGAACATAAAAGAAAGATAGAATAGAGACAACAGGCCTATCTGACAGTAAGACAGACCCAACAGATATAACAGATATACTAGACCCATTAGCAGCATTAACAGTAATAGGAAAAGGAGGGGGAGTACAATTTTGACGTAAGAAGAGATGGGAAGTCATGATGAGAGGCACCAGAGTCAAAAATTCAAACAGACGAAGAGATACTTGAAGAATACCCAAGCAAACCTAAATGAAGAGATGAAACAATGGAGGCAGACGAGGATGGCTGGGAAGTAGATAGCATATGCTGAAACTAACTAATCTGAGCACTCAAGGAAGCCAAGGTAGGATCGAGAGCTGGAGCAGATGTAGTAGAACCGGCAAAAGGCCAAACGGTACTCAGAGGAGAGGCGTAGAAGTGGATCGAAAACTGCTAAGAAGACGAAGCAGACAGACATCATTTCTTGCGACAATGGTACTTCCAATGACCCCTTTGATGGCAGTAGGCACATTCAGGTTTAAGTGGGTGAAGTAGGTGGAGAGTATGTGGATTTAGTGGGTTAGGTTTAGTGGAGTAGGTTTAAGTGGGTGAAGTAGGTGGAGAGTATGTGGATTTAGTGGGTTAGGTTTAGTGGAGTAGGTTTAAGTGGGTGAAGTAGGTGGAGAGTAGGTGGATTTTAACAACAATTTTGAAGTAAGAAGAGATGGGAAGTCATGATAAGAGGCACCAGAGTCAAAAATCCAAACAAACGAAGAGATACTTGAAGAATACCTAAGCAAACCTAAATGAAGAGAGGAAACAATGGAGGCAGACGGGGATGGCTGGGAAGTATATAGTATATGCTGAAACTGACTAATCTAAGCACTCAAGGAAGCCAAGGTAGGATCAAGAGCTGAAGCAGATGCAGTAGAACCGGCAAAAGGCCAAACGGTACTCAGAGGAGAGGCGTAGAAGTGGATCGAAAACTGCTAAGAAGACAAAGCAGACAGACATCATTTCTTGCGACAATGGTACTTCCAATGACCCCTTTGATGGCAGTAGGCACATTCATCAAAAGCCAGAGACATTGTAATAACCAGAAAGCTCAGGGGTTCAAGTGTAAGAACCCAAAGATCAGAACTAGAACCGTAATAAGCAAAAAAGTTATCCAACGAACCCATAAATTAACAAGGTCCCAAGTGGGGTCACTTTATAATAACCAAAATCTTGACCCAACCCACAAATATTCCAAGTCAAATAGACAGAACTGGAAGCCCTGACCCACAAATATCCCAAGTAGAATCACAGAGAGAGAGAGAGAGAGACTGAAGCAGAGATAGAGACCAGCGATGGAGCTTCATAGGGCTCTGAATAGCAACGATAGTGAGAGAGATGATGCAACGACTAGCGACTTGGTTCCTAGGCCAACTTGGTTCTTCGACTGAAACTGAAACAGAAACAGAAACAAAAACAGAAACAGAAACAGAGGCAGAGACCAGAGGAAGAGTTATGATGATCAAGAACCAAAGAAATCCAAAGAAGGGTCACGTTGAACTCGACCTAGAGAGATAAGGCCAATGTGACACTCCTTCAACCAGTGCAGACGGAGCACGAAGTCATCTTCCTAAAGCAGATGAGGAACCAGTTGATCACGTGAGACACTCGTGACCTTCGATTGAACCAAACGAAGACAGAGGAAGTCACGACTTGTGACTTAGAGAGAGATGAAACCAAAGGGCTGCTTTCCGAGAAATAATCGCGACGAAGGAGACGACCTATGATCACGACTTAGTGAGAATTTGATGAGGAAGACGATTCAGAGACAACGTCTAGGGTTTGGGCTCAGAGGCGGCTCTGATACCATGTAAGAATTTCTAAACAACCCGTATATTCAATTGTATGTAAAATATAAGAATACATTAGTTTATATCAATCTAACCCTAGAACTAAAAAAAGGAAACAAAATCCCTAATATATACAGAATATATAAACTACTATATATACATAAAACATAATATTCTCACAGCATTTTCAAAAGAACATGAAGCTCAGAGAGAAATCATGGTTCAATAATAAGTTCTTCAAAAACAAAAGTTGATACCACTCAATTCTTGAAGGCTTCCACTAATACTTTTTTTGTTTCTTTTTTCATTTTTCAACAAGGGTATAGGAGCGGGTAGCTAATGTATCATGCTTCAATATCCCTAGTTCAATATCAAAAGTTGAAACAATTGGATGCTAATTCGCTAATACAATTCCCACCACCAATGTTACTCATAAGGGAAGAACCACAAATTCAACTAAGGTAGCAAATTCCCCCTCTACAACCACAACAATGGCTTGAAAGGAATCATGGAGATAGAAGAAACTGGGTGGTTGACAAAGAAATATAGTAAGAAGTTAACTATTTTAATGAGGACAACCATTCCCATGTTTTCCTTAATTTAGATACCTAATCCAGAAAGCTTTAGATGGTATGAGATGAATGAAAATTCAAAAGGTAGTGTTTGGTTTGATTTTTAATACATGATTTGGATGAAAATTTGAAATAAAGCTCAAGGGGGCAACACATGTTCGGTGGATCAAAGTGCAAGCAAACATTCAAAGGACTGGAATGGGTGAGATTGGAACTTGGGAAAAGATTAAGCAAGCAATTATGCACCAGTTTCTGCCAGTAAACTACAAGCAAAGTACCAATCTTCAATTATGCCCTTGAGGCAAGATAACATGTCTATGGAAAAGTATACATGTAACGTCTATCACTTGGCCATTCATTCTGCTTTTGAATTTTTTTTATTTTTTTTTTATATAAATTTTTTTGGGTAGTTCTTTTGATTGGAATGAAGATGTTATGATTATAATGAATTAAAGCCACAGCTTGCTTTTAAACTTACTGCAACTATGCTCTATTCATTAAGTGATACTATTCAAGTTATAAGAGGATTTGCCACTAAAATCTTCCATAAAATTTCCACTGCAAAATAACTATCTAAGCGAGAAATTAGTAAGCTGATTTTAGTGATTGTTGAGAGATTGCATAGTGGTTCTTCTAATTCTAACAGCAGCCCAACTCATTCTTCAACAAGCACATTAGGGAATCGAATGTACCCAATAAGCAGTCTAGTTCTAGTGCTTTTAAGCAATGATGCTTCTGAAACATGATGCTATAATTGTAATGGTTTTGGCCATCTCCCTTTTGACTGCCCTACCAAGTTTGTTGCCATGGTTGAAAAGGAAATTCCTAAAGAGTCAAGGGGATTTCATAAATCACCACTTGACAAAGAGAGATGTAATCCCCATCATGTTCTAGGTCTCCAAAATTTTTGAACACCTAGACTCTTTTTTTCCCCCTAGAAAAGATAAGCATAAAGGCTAAATAGAAGCAAAGAAACATGATAAGATAAAATAGAAAGGCATGCAACCTACTTCTAAGGAAGAGAACCTTTATGTTGTGTTTGGATCATGCATTTGTAGACAGATTTGTGGAAGGAAAAAAAAATGGGAAAGGAGAAGTGTATGAAGTAGAAGCATTTTTTTTTTTCACTTTCCCATTCTCATCTCTTTTCCCTCCACAAGTCCAATGCGATCCAGAGCGATGCTCTATTTGAATCTTTTATGAAATCAAGCATTTTTTTTACTCATCTTTTGGGCGTTCATCATTTGCTGGAAGTTTCTATTCAAGTGTGGATCTTACACTAGTTTTGGCTATTTGCATTGATCAAACCTTATCAGGCAAAATGTCAATATCAATAAAGACAGTCTCTGCATACCTAATTTATAATATTCAACACTGATTTCAACAAACTTGTTTTCATAATTTCCTTTCGAGTGCGTGTTGGTTTTTAAATCTCCACCTTCATTGAGCCTCCCATGATTCACAACCTCCCTCCCTTAATATGATTTTAAACCTTTTTCTGTCTTTATTTTCACCCATTTGAACACAATCTTCTAGAATCACTCTTGGCAACTACATGTAAATGAACAAAGGAACATGGTAACTGCTAGGCAATAAGATATAGGGTTATACAACTATAGAAGTATTCACATAGTTTCAAGGGAAAGAAATGAATGAACATGTTTGACAGCTCCACAAATTTACTTCAAATTTTTACATTACCTTCAGATGTGTCACTTTCTCTTGGTTATCTGTCTCCCCCAAGTAATCATTTGAAATAGAAACCCCTGCCAATGTATCTTCAGTATCGCTCTCAACAACAAGCTCCATTGCCACATACTGTATCGGTACCCAGAAAAGTAAGAATGCAGAAAATGAAAAGGAAGAAGAACAAGTGGAAGAAAGAGAAGAAAAAGAATAGATTTGATAAATGGAGGATGCAATCATCGAGAAGGATAATGACAATCACAATTTTTTTTTTTTTTGTATGTATGGATATTATAGGCAGTTTTTGCAGACTATTTATAGATGTGGCATGAGTAAATTAGACGTTCCACCAAGCTCCCTTGCTGCAAAAATGTTGTTTTTACTAATGTATGAAAACTTTGAAACCTTTAGTATGTGTAGTTTTGAATCAAGTCATTTTTCTTTGGAAAGATAATAAAACTTAAAGACAAATGAATACCAATGCAATAAATTTACTACAGGGTAAGGGGAAAAAAACCAGTTGGAGCCGTAAAAACTGAAATGGCTACTCAAATTCCTGTAATACCACCAGTGTGCATGCAATAATTTCATTAAGTGTCCCTCAATTCCAGTTTTATATAAATAAAATAAAAAATTATGTAAATCATTTCAACAATATAATAAAATTTAAAATGCTCTTGCTCCTAGAGTGAAGGTCCAACAAGATTTTTACTAAAATTTCTTATAATGAAACACAATGGTAAGTCTTTATTCATGGGCAGTGGTCAATATTTAAAGACCTTTAAAGGAAAAATAAAAACCCTATACACATATATGAACTCGTGTTCATGATAAAATTAAAATAACAATAATAAATAAATATTAATAAAAAAGAGTTTCATACATACCTGATTGTTCAAGCTGAAGAATTCGAAAGTGTTACATGATGCACTTCTCCAAAGCCATTCATCAAGTCCTGCTTGCATTCTCACTAGCTTCTTTGAGCCTTCGTGTCCACAGATGGACTTCATTTTGGGACAGTCTTTTACCCATATTGCATTCAAGGATGGGCACTTCAAAGTGTATTTTCTAGGGAAGAAACTAATGAGCTTTGGTAGAGATTTAAGGGTAATGGAGTCAAGTTCAGGGAACTCAATCATGTTGGCAGTTACTACATCCCCTTCTTCCTTGGTAATAATTTCTTCCATCATTTTGCATCTTCTCACATCTAGTTTTTGAAGTCTAGCAATGCCTCTAAATATGGAGATTGGAAAGAGATTTTGCAAACTATCACAATCATGTAATTTCAAAGTTTTTAGATTTTGAAAGACAGCTTTTACTGTGGGACCCTTCTTCAATATGTGCTTCAAGACAGGTAGTTCTCTTAGCACCAACTTTTTTAACATTGAGAGCGGCGGTACATGTTCATCTTCAACAACAATTCCTTCCAAGTCAAAAACCACAGCCAATGAGCCACAGCATTGAACAACAAGATCTTGTAGATTGTGTAAACTTTCTAATGTACTAGATGTAACAACACTCAACAGTTTGTCACAGTTTTCAGCCCACAAGGTTCTTAGCTTGCATAAAGACAAAGAGGGAAGGCTGTGGCATATGTCATTCAAGTTCACAAAGTTGAGATTGAATTCCTCTAGGCTAGGAAATGAAACCTGTCAAACCATTTTTTGCTGTGTTAAAGATAATTATGTAACATAACCCCCAAGCTTTTAGAAACTTTCAATTCTATTCTATTCACACATTTATCAGAATGCACAATTGTGAAAATTACAGTCTACAACTAAATGGATAACCTAAAGAAAGGAAGGAGAAGAGAAAAAAAGCAATGGATAATAACCAAATCATCTGCCCATTACAATCTTTTTCAAGCACTACTATTGGTCTGGGCCATGTCATAACTGGTTCAGAACTTTCATTGGCTTTTATTTCCTCCCAAAACAAGTTCTTAGAAATAATTCATTTATCAAATTGAACAAGAAAAAGGAATTCCCTCCCCGAAAGAACGGGAAAAAAAAAAGTAGTTTGTTTTCATACCTTTTCATTGAACAGATACTGAACAGATATATTGAGGTCAGCCTCACGAACTGTTTCTTCGGATTCTACATATGTTCCCCTTAACTTTTGAGTGCTCTGGAATCTGGATGGAAAGGACTTCAACTGGGGGCATTTATCTATGGTTAGTTGTCTCAAGGAGGGCCATTCTAAAGTGCAATTCCCCAAACAAAAACTCATGAGATTTGGTAGATCTTTGAGCACAAGAGCATCCAAACAACGGAACTCAATTATATCAACTACTTCTTCTTCTACTACTATTTCTTTCATTGAGTTGCATGTAATTATGGTTAGAGATTGGAGCTGCACTAGACATTTTGCCACGGAAGCTGGGAATACAAATCTCAAGCTATCACAATTCTCAATATTCAGGGAACCTAGGTTCTGAAATCCTTGAAACCCAGGGGGTACCCCGTGACAAACATATGTTAACTTAGCTAAATGTTGCAATGTCAATTCTTTCAAATTACGGAGTTCTGCACATCTGTCCACAACATTTAGTCCTTCAAAGTCAAAAACCTTCACCAGAGAAGGGCACCTTGCAACATAAAGTCTCTCTAACTGTTGTAACCTTTGGAGTAAATTGGATGGAACAATGCTCATCAGTTGGTGACAGTCTTCCACCTCTATGAGCCATAGTTTACAAAACGACCCAATTGGAAGTTTCCCATGCCATATCTCTCTCAAATTATTAGCATATGAGAGCTTCAATTCCGTCAAGCGAGGCAATGTAATCTGGGGAAAGATATCCACGTTAGCCATATGTGTTCCATGATTTACAAAGACTACTGTATCAACTTTGACCTTTCAGACTGAACCCAAATAAAAATATTTAAAGTTTTTTAATGCTTGAGAAAGTGAAAGGTTAACTTGGCTTATTAAACCAAAGAAACTTAAAAGAATAAACAAGCATTTTATGGATCTCCTTTAACAACTCTTATCTGCTATTACAATTGCCAATATTTAAACCATGATCTAGACTAAGTTGCCAAGGCAGGAAACTGCCATGGCACAAAAATTAGGGGGCATATGGTACGCAGCAACAAAAATAGTTCCATTTGTTCACCAGAGCATTTTAATAGGAAAAAGTTCATTCATAAATCGAATCGTAAACAAATCTTTTTGTTATAATTACAAAAGATGAACAAGAAGAAGGAGAAAAGGTAATCATCAATCATATGTAGAAGGGGCAAGCTTTAACCGAAATCAAGAACCCACCCAATTTTACCTGTTTAAAACCCATTTAAATGTGTCCATGCCATAAAGGGGTTTAAATGGTTTGCAACTTACAAACCCATTTAAAATGGGTTGGACATGGGTACCTGTTGGGAAAGCATAAAAACAAGCAATAAATAAAGAACCTACCATCTAGTTTTTGAAGTCTAGCAATGCCTCTAAATATGGAGATTGGAAAGATGCCCTCATAATTGGCTTAGGAAAATCTTATGAATAATAAAAACAGAGAGAACGAAACAGGCCAGTAAATTTAATCTAGTTGCCATCAGATACAGAAGTCCTCAAGAGAACTTGTAATTTTTACCAGGCCCTCTATAACAGAATACATGACATCAATGTGATCTCCCACATAAAAAAGGTCATAGCAATCATATTCATTGGCATAAGTCTCAACCCATTCTGGAAACATCATAGCAATCTAGTTGCCCATGTCTGTCGTAGTGTGGGGATGAGTTCCTGATTTTGAGCTAAACAACATCAAAAATGGCTCCACCACCACCACCAACGTCCCACCACCCCACCGTCCATTGGAAAAAGAGTTCAATAAAATAAATGGATTAGTCAGGTTGATTTGTCCAACCCATACCTAATTCAACCCAAGGGCTTGGGTTGGAGTTGTTCTAATACATCCATCTTGACCTTCCCCAACCCGCCAGTTGGTCACCTCTAATCATATGTCAACAAAAATGTATAATAATTACATCATTCTGAAAATAAAAAATAATGAGCCTAAATGGAATCTATTGAATAAATAAATAAAATTCACTGTGAGAAACACACACACACATGTTTAAGTTCATTGTGGGATATCCATGTTGCAGTATGACAAACCACTAGACAGTTCCCTATTGGCTTTTCATAGTTTTATTTATTTGTTCATTTGTTTGCTTATTCTCAACTAGAGTGGACTTTTGGGTCAAAACCTAGACCAAAAGGTGATTTGGAGAATTCTCCTGGATCTTCCAGTTTTAGAAGATATGGATTTAGAGAAATAAAGTTATTTAAACTACAAGGGTAACAATATATTTCCAAAGTCTGCAAATATGTTTGTCGAACATCCATAGCAAGTTTTACATAGATAAGGTGTCCAAAGATGTTAGAGAAAATATTACGTACTGCATTTCAAAGCCTAAATTTAGAAGTGTTCTCTCTTTTTTAATTTTGCAAATATATGTTTCAATTATGGCAACAAATTTAGAAAATTTTGACATCAAGAAACTGAGCACTGTCTTTTATAAACCTCTTGGGAGTCAAGTTACTCAAAGAAATGTTATTTAGGTCATTATGGCTTTCCAGTGCTTCAAATACTGGCCCTGATAAACTAGTACATTTATCAGATTACTTCAGTAAACATGGGAAATAAGCCTTTGTAAGCCAATTTCTAATTGTCTCTAAAAGTACACACCAAATCCATATCCATATCCATATCCATATTCATTTCCAAAATAGCATTGCAAACAAGTTGGCACATCTTGCCACCTTATCAATTTCAACACCATCAACTGAATGGAAGCATGTATAATGGTCAGTAACCTTCAACTCCAATCTTAGTGACTAAAGTTGTGGGATATAACAAAACGGAAAAGCATATCATCTGAGTAGAGGCTCTATAAGCAGGTAATCAGTGATAAGAAAACTGGTCATAATATGAAAAGAATGTTGCAACCATCCTAGCTGGATATTGACAAGATATGTGCATACCTTTTCATTAAAGATGTGCTTTAACCGTACATCAAGATTTCCCTCCAAATGTGTTACCTCCAATCCATTGTTGGTTATCCCTACCTTTTCTGCAGTGAATTTATCAATTTGGGAACATTTTTTCAATGTTAAAGCCTCCAAAAGTGGACAATCCAAAGAATAACTTCCATTGCAGAAAGCAGTAAGGCTTGCGAGTTTTCCAAGTGATATAACTTTTATATTGGGGAACACAATCTTTTCAACGATTTCACCATCCCTTCCCCTAGCAATAACTTCTCTTAATTTCTTGGATTTTCTTACATCTAGACAATAAAGTTGCACAAGAACTCCAGCAATTGATGGTGAGAAGATACTAACCAATGAGTCACAGCAATCAATTGTTAGAGTACTTAAGCTTTGAAAGCCCATATATACTTTTGAATCCATGCTCCATAAATGCATCAACCTAGGAAGACTCAGTAATGTCAAATCTCTTAACCGGGAGAGTGGCTTTGCATACCCTTCCTCAATATCAAGCTCCTCAGTGTCAAACATTTCTTCCAATGAGCTACAGTCTTCTATAGTAAGTGTTTCTAGATTTCGAAGTCTTTGTAGAAAACTGGAAGGACCAACAGACAATAATTTGGGAAAACAGACCACCTTTAGTTCAAGTAGTTTCAAGAAAGACAAGACCGGTATTTGTTTGTGCCATATCTCTATGATATTTTCCATATCACCAAGGATCAATTCTTCCAATTCTGGGAATGCAACCTACATAATTCATCTAAAGGTGTTAACATTCAAAATGGGGACTAAATAAAATATACATTATAATATTAAAAGTCACTTGAACAGGATTTTTGTCAAAATTCAGTCTGCAAAGCATAAATCGAAAGAAATGCTAAACATATCATGTGATCACTTATTGTACAGCATAAATATGAAAGCTACATCCCCCAGTGTGTTGGGAATAAACCCACCTAAAACTCTAATGCCACTTGTTGGGAAAAATTTCCTGTGTGCCAGTTTAAAGCATGCCCAAAATAAATTTGCAAACACACACTATTTCACTTGGTTCAGCAAAAATGCCTACATCCACAGATGAGAGAGATAAATCCACCACGAATAATAAAGAGTACAATGGTGAAATAAAAATACACAAAACCCAACACCAATACACTAAGACCCTTGCTGTAGGAAAAGGTTTTGTATACCAATCAGGTACCACATGGCACTACCTTTCACCAATCACAAATGTATATGCCCCTATTATTCCCAAACACCCAACAATATGCCCCTATTTCACTACCTTCCACCAATCACAATTGTAGAAGGTACCACATGGATATATCCTATCCACATACAAATCTCTCTCCTGCTCAAGGGTAATTGAGTCCCGAAGCACCAAGCACTATAAAGTTCCCACTCACTATGTTGTTTTTACATCTCACACCTTGCACCTCTCACCTCACTATCACACAACCACTTTTACAACACTCTGGGCTGTCCTTGTAGCACCCTTGGGCTACCTTCCCTCTCAGACTTTCTCACTGTAAAGACATCAACTTTCATACACTCAACATGAAGATTTAGAGAAGAGAAAATGATAGGGAATAGGTTAGACCTCATCCCCTTTTATATTGATAATACTAAGTAATTACAAGAGTGCCATAAAGCATAAATTATGGGCCAACCCATTACATCCATAAACGGAAAAATAAATATAGAAAGAATAAAATATAACAAAATAGTCTTTTATATTCTAACACTCCCCCTCAAGCTGGTACGAAATCTCTCATACCCAGCTTGTTGAGAATGCCATTAAATGGTTTGCTCCCTATGCCCTTGGTGAGAACATCTGCCAGTTGGTCCCCAGTCTTCACAAATGGAATACATATGGTGCCACTAGTGAGTTTTTCCTTGATGAAGTGCCTATCAATCTCCACATGCTTAGTCCTGTCATATTGAGTTGGATTATGAGCAATGTTGATTGCGGCTTTGTTGTCACAGTACAATCTCATGGAATCGGTCTGATGGATCCCCAAGTCTTCCAATAATAGTCTAATCCATAGCAACTCGCATACACCCTGAGCCATAGCCCGGAATTCTACCTCAGTACTAGATCTAGCAACCACATTTTGTTTCTTACTTCGCTACGTGACTAGGTTGCCTCCAACAAATGTGCAATATCCAGAAGTTGATTGTCTGTCAGTGATGGGTCCAGCCCAATCCGCATCAGTGAATGCCTCCACACTAAGATGTCCATGTTTTCAAAAAAAGAGACCCTTTCCAAGGGAAACCTTCAGGTATTTTAGAATTCTCATAATTGCCTCTAAGTGGGAATTTCTAGGAGCATGCATAACCTGGCTAACCATGCTCACTGCAATAGCAATGTTTGGACGGGAGTGGGATAAGTACATGAGCTTACCCACTAGCCTCTGATATCTCCCCCTGTCCACTGGATCTCCACCTTGATCCTCACTTAGTTTCTGGCCCAGTTCTAGAGATGTATCACATGGTCTACCTTCAAGCATTCTAGTTTTCTTGAGCAAGTCAAGTACATACTTCCTTTGGCATATGAAGATGCCATCCTTGGACCGAGCTACTTCAATGCCCAAAAAATATTTCAAATTGCCTAAGTCTTTGATTTCAAACTCCTTGGCTAAGTATTTCTTCAACCGAGGAATCTCCTCAACATCATCTCCTGTCAAAACAATATCATCAACATAGACAATAAGAGTTGTGGTTTTACCAAGTAAGAAATGTTTCACAAATAAGGTGTGATCAGCTTGACTTTGCTTGAGCCCATATCTCAGCATAGCTTGATCAAACCTTTCAAACCAATGCACACTTTACCTTTGGACCTAGCATCCTCAAAACCAAGGGGAATATCCATATAGACCTCTTCTTCTAGGTCTCTATGAAGGAAGGCATTCTTCATATCAAACTGATGAAATGGCCAATCCAGATTTGCGGCAAAAGAGAGTAGTATTCTCACAGAGTTCATCTTAGTAACCGGTGCAAATGTCTCCTGGTAATCTACCCTATAAGTCCGAGTAAAACCCTTAGCAACCAGTCTTGCTTTGTACCGTTCTATGGAACCATCCGCTTTGTATTTTACAGTATACACCCACTTGCATCCAACTAGATTTTTGCCTCTAGGTAACTCCACTAACTCCCAAGTGCCATTCTTGCTGAGAGCTCTCATCTCCTCCATCATGACATGTTTCTATTCAGGAATAGTGAGAGCCTCCTGAAAATTGTTAGGCAGACTCACAGAAGAAATAGAAAGGCTTTATATGAGGGAGACAGATTATAATAAGAGCCATGATTCGTAATTGGATGCTATGTACATGACCTAACCCCCTTTCTATTAGCAATGGGAACATCAAAATCTGAAAGCTCAGGAATGGGAGCACTATGATCAAAATTACCTGGACTCTCAGGAGAGGGGGGTGACTCTGGACACTCATCCGAGGAAGTGGTTTGTAGTAGAGGAGGAAAAATAGGTTCCTGCATCCAGGTGACTTGCTGTCTGTCCTTGTCGCTGACATAAACTTTGCATGCGTCAACCGCTGCTGGCTCATCATCCTCTATCTGTGCAACCACTGGCGGAAGTAGAATAAGAATCTCTTCACACCAAGGATCCCCCTGGAAGGATGACTAGGACACTGGAGAGGAGAGAAAGTAAGACTGGGACTCAAAAAATATGACATCTATGGAGACAAACCATTTGCAAGTGAGAGGATGATAACACTTATAAGTCTTTTGGGTGGCAAAGTAACCTAGGGAAACACACCTAAGAGAGCTAGGATCCAATTTACCATGAGTAGGGGAATGATTATGGACAAAACAAACATAGCCAAAGGTCTTAAGGGAAAGGGAGAACCCAAAAGAGGTGGACCCGAACAGAACTTGGAGAGGTGTTTGCTTTTAAAGGACTTGGGTACGAAGAGGATTAATCAAATAAGCGACAGTGAGAACTGCCTTCCCACAATAAGATCGAGGAAAACGCATTTCAAAGGATAGACAACGGGCCACATCAAGAAGATGATGATTTTTCCTTTCAACAACCCCATTCTGTTAAGGGGTATTAGTGCAGGAAGTTTGATGAATAATGCCACGAGTGACAAAATAACTGGCAAGACCAAAGTCAAGATATTCCCCCCCAATATCATAACGCAAAATTTTGAATACCGCCCCAAACTGGGTGCAAATCATTTTGTGGAAGGTTTGAAACATAGAAAACACTTCACTTTTATCTTTTAGCAGATAGACCCAAGTTGCCTTAGAATAATCATCGATGAAAGTAACAAACCATTTTTGATTTTTTAAAAACACGAAACGTGAGGGACCCCAAACATCAGAATGAATCAAAGTAAATGAAACTGAACTTTTATTAATAGAATAAGCAAAAGAAGCTCGGTGTTGTTTTCCAAGTTGATAAAGACTCACATTGAAAATCAGACACACTATTATTCTCAAAACCAAAAGGAAATAAATGCTTAAGTAGTAAAAAAGAGGAATGCTTTAAACGACGATGCTACAGCCAGAGGTCTTCCTTGGTGGATGGTAACTGAACAGATGAATGAGCCAACCTATTTGTCTAATCGAGAATGTAGAGACCATGTTCCTCTCTACCACTGCCAATCTCCTTCCTTATGATAAGGTCCTGGAAAAGACAACGATCAAGAAAAAACGTCACACTACAATTTAAACCACGAGTAATACGACTCAAAGATAAAAGATTAACACTAAAATTAAGAACATGAAGAACAGAGGATAATGGAAGGGAAGGTGTGACATGAATTAAACATTTCCTAAATACAGATGACATAGTACCATCAGCAATACGTACTTTTTCTTAACCTGAACAGGGGTTATACTCGGAGAATAACTGAGAGGAACCAGACATATGGTCAGAAGCACCAGAATCAATAATCCAAGGCACAGTGGTATGAGATAGCAATCCATATGGAGAAGAAGCCAAGTTACTCAAATTGGCAAAGGAAGAAGAGAGTGCACCTGTGGCAAAAGTGGAGGCGCGATAGTCTAGCAAGTGGTGAAGAACAATCTCAAAATCCGAGTCAGATAACTCCGAAACATCAGCAGCTGGTGAGACAACGGGAGATGAAGGTGGTGGCTCAACCGTGTCTAAAAGATGAGCCCGAGCATTGGTCCCTCAACCTCTAGACGGGCCAGATCTATCCCCTCGATTACCAGGATGGTCCCCGCGACCACTAGGAGTCCCATGCAACTTCCAACAAGTCTCTCGGGCGTGTCGAGGTCGACGACAGTAGTCACAGAAAAGATTATCCTTCTCAGAAGAAGGACGAGAACCATGAGACATACGCTTGCCAGGTCGGGAAGGTGCATAAACCAAAGCAGAACGATCAATGGTAATAGAAGGAAGCATTGCAGAGCGGTAACTCTCCTCATTCTGTACAAAAGCAAAGGCTTCCTGGAGAGAAGGAAGCACGTCCATGCCAAGTATTCGGCCCCGAACAGGGTCATACTCCACATTTAGGCCTTCCAAGAACTTGAAGACCCGCTCTTGTGCCACAAACTTCCGATAACCAGCAGAAGTAGTGGGATAGACAGGCTTGTAATCATGAAGATGATCAAGCCTCTTCCACCCATTGCTAAAAAAGGTAAAATACTAGAGAATAGTCATCTCACCTTCTACTGACCTTTCAATGGAGCGACGTAACTCGAAAGCCTGGGAGAAGTTCCCTTTTCGGGAGTAAGTGGTAGCCACGGCCTCCCAAATATCCTGTGCAATGTCCATAGAGAGATAGCCCTCTCTAATCTCGAGAACCATAGAATGGATCAACCAACCCATAATGAGGGAGTTGGTGATCTCCCACTGATCATAACTTGAGTCCGTGGTGGTCAGTGCTGGTATCTTGCCATCAACATATCCCATCTTCCCTCTACTCTTCAAAAAAATAGTCAAACTTTGTGACCACGCTAGATAGTTCTAACCATTGAATAGAGAGGTGGTGATCTTGAGGCCAGGGTTGAGGTTATCAGTCATAGTAGGAGATATAATGGAACTCTCGCTCTGAGGTGGCTGAGAAATAGTGGATTCACTAAGGGAATCTACCATGGATACTCTACCATTGAACTCTCAAAAACAAGGCCAATCACAAACCCAGAAGATAAAAGTGGAAGGAAGAAAAGACACAACTACCACTATGAAAGTATAAAGAAATTAAGAACTCTCAATATATATATATATATTTTTTTTTCACTGCATTTTTTTTTTCTTTTTTCTTTTTTGTGGTTTTAGGTTAAAACATCAAACAAAGAGTTTAAGACATAAAAGCGAGAGACCCAGAAACTGCCAATAGAGACAGAGGGCCAGGGGACAGAGACAAAGTGTCGTGGAAGGGCTAGACAACCAGAGGAACTGTCGTAATAGCCAGAGTGACTACCGTTGAAGGGGAAGAGCCTTGGAGGACTACCGACAGGGGCTCTGGAGTTAATAGGACCTTGCGACACAGCCTACAAAGCCAGGGAGGGCTCTCGACAGACCACTAGATAGAGAGGTGGTGATCTTGAGGCCAGGGTTGAGGTTATCAGTCATAGTAGGAGATATAATGGAACTCTCGCTCTGAGGTGGCTGAGAAATAGTAGATTCACTAAGGGAATCTACCATGGATACTCTACCATTGAACTCTCAAAAACAAGGCCAATCACAAACCCAGAAGATAAAAGTGGAAGGAAGAAAAGACACAACTACCACTATGAAAGTATAAAGAAATTAAGAACTCTCAATATATATATATATATATTTTTCACTGCATTTTTTTTTTTCTTTTTTCTTTTTTGTGGTTTTAGGTTAAAACATCAAACAAAGAGTTTAAGACATAAAAGCGAGAGACCCAGAGACTGCCAATAGAGACAGAGGGCCAGGGGACAGAGACAAAGTGTCGTGGAAGGGCTAGACAGCCAGAGGAACTATCGTGATAGCCAGAGCGACTACCGTTGAAGGGGAAGAGCCTTGAAGGACTACCGACAGGGGCTCTGGAGTTAATAGGACCTTGCGACACAGCCTACAGAGCCAGGGAGGGCTCTCGACAGACCCCTAGAAGACGAGAGGGGGGCTGCCGAGGCCTAGGTAGAGGGTGTCGGGAGACTTGGGTGAGTAAGAGAGGCTAGGTGAAGGGTTTTTGTGGCTGGGTGCTCGGTTTCGATGGCTCAGAGAATGCCAGATAAGAAAGAGGCTAGAATAGGATGGCTAGGGTCTGTGTGGCTCTGATACCATGAAGATTTAGAGAAGAGAAAGTGATAGGGAATAGGTTAGACCTCATCCCCTTTTATATTAATAATACTGAGTAATTACAGGAGTGCCATAAGGCATAAATTATGGGTCAACCCATTACATCCATAAAGGGAAAAATAAATATAGAAAGAATAAAATATAATAGAATAGTCTTTCCTATTCTAACACAACACATCTCATACCCCCATTACATACATATAGATACAAAAATTTCAACTGTTGATCTCCCCAAAGTTGGTTGCCACATTTCAATGATGAAGAAAAATTGTGCCAAATTAATATTGTATCATTCTAGGCACTCAAGAGCTTCCCCTAGAAACTCACCAACCTTTTTGACTGACTTCAATAAAAGACCATATTTATTTATCTAGCAATGTGATGCTAGCCTTCTCCATTTTTCAAAGCATCACATGAATAGAAAAAGATGACTATTCACATTCCTTGGTCCCACATAGACATAATCCCAACACAAAGACAAATTCTCCGGTCTATGTACTAATTCTAGGCATCAACCACAGTTATGATGCACTAAAGCATTCAATATAAAGCCCAACTCAGATAGTTGGATTCAATTGGTTAAAGCTTCATCCTTGTGTTCCATATAACTGTGTGTTTTCTGTTTCAGGGTTCTATACCTTCTTATCAAAGGCTAGAATGTCCTCGAATTGTCATTCCAATGTTCATGCTAAAAGATTAAACAGGAAAGCAAGATATTGAAAAAGCCACAAAACAAGGTTTCAGGGTTGTCCGCAGAAGCTGATAAACCAATGTGAACTAATAGAACAAGAGGAAACAGGCTCTGCGAATTGTTGCTGGAAAGAAGTTTACAACAATGAGCCATTAGATCACGACGTGAGTTATTTTTTACCCATTATTTGTTTTTTCTGTTCTTTTGCAGAAAAATGATGTATTCATGAAGTCAAGGACAGGTTTTCCCATTGTTTTAGAGCAAAACAATCAATATGGAATGGTATAGGAGCTCACATAAATGAAATTAGAGAGGCTACCCTGTATAGCTTCTCACCCCGTACGTACCTTATCATTAAAGAGTTGTTGTTTGGAAACAGTAAGGTCGAGATCAGAGGGGGCGAAGGAAGCCAATTTGTAACAGCCAGCTATCCTCAGCTTTTTCAAGGATGGCCACTCAAAAATACAACATTCTGGGCTGAAGCTTGTGAGGCTTGGCAGGTTTTCAAGTACAAGGCTTCTTACTTGAGGAAACACAATCTCTTTTGCTGATGCTTCTTCTCCTTTCGCCTTAGCAATTATCTCTTCTAGAAACTTGCACTTAATAATTCGTATTTCTTTAAGTTGCACAAGGGTTCTGCCCACCGAGGATGAGAAGAGATTTTCCTGACACCCACAATTTCTCACTTCTAGAATTGTCAGATTTCTAAGGCTAAGGACTCCTTGAGCATCATGGCTCCATAAATGCTTCAATGTAGGCAGGTTAATCAGCTTTATTTCCCTTAACCGCAAGAGGGCAAACTTTGCTTCTTCTTGTTTAATTTCAAGTATTTCAATGTCAAAGACCTCTCTCAGTGAATCACAGCTGCGTACTTCTAGCAATTCTAGATTATGGAAACTTTGCAGCAAATTGGTTTGAGCAATTTTCAACAGAGCGCAACACCCAATCACCACCAGAACTCTTAACTGATACAAGGATGTAGGTAGAACTTCCGCGCTCCATATCTCTTTCAAGTTGTCCATGAAAGTGAGCTCCAGTTTCTCCAGATTGGGAAAAGAAACCTGCAATAAAATTTATCCATACTTTTAGTAACTGAAAATATATATTAAATTTTCTTTTCGTGTCTCTCTTTTTGTACACCAGTTCTTAGGGGTAAAGATCCTGAAGATAAGAGTCCAACCAAGTTTGACTCCCAATTGAAAACGGGTCCTCCAAATTATATTAATGACGTAGTGTATTTATTTATTATTATTAGGGGGCAAGTACTTTGTTGCAATGCTAAATGGCCTAATTCTTATAAAGAACAAACTGTTTCAATTAGTCTTCCAATAAATTTCCTACAAGGCATGTTTGAGCTTCACAATGATCTGCATTTTACTTTGAAATGAGAAAAGAAATGAGCTAGTCAGCTAGCTCAGATGGAAGATACGGCACTACTCAAAAAGTATATTTTACTATCTAAAGATTTGTCCAATTCTTACAAAAGCCAAAAAATCATCCCAAACATACTAGCTTTTTTTACCTCATATTTTAGTCAAAAAGCCAAAAAATTACTAAAATAGCCTGTTCCCAAACGAAGCCTCACGTCAGATGTATTTATTTTAAGTTGGGATCATATTGTCTGCAACTCTGCTATTGCTCAAGTTCATGGAAGGTCTTCCATTCCAGAAGCTCTTAAGAAATGACATAGGATAATAAATATAAGATTTTAAGATACGAAAATACCTTTGCATTGAAGAGAGGTTGTCGGGTGACCTGTTGTGCTGACTGGTTTACCATAGGCCAAAAGCTAATGATGTTTGGCAGGCTTCGAAGTTTCAAGGAATTCAACTGAGGGAGCGAAATCTCGCCAATGACTTCTTTTGCACTTTCATTGCTGAATATTTCCTTTATCATCTTGCACTTGTCCATTATTAGTAACTGGAGATGTACAAGAGTTCTAGCAATGGATGGTGAGAAGAGATCCTCCAGTGCATCACAACGTTCTACCTCCACAATTGTAAGATTTTTAAGGGATACAAGTTCTATGGTGCCTTTCCACATATGCTTTAAAGTATGAAGTTGAGAGAACCTCAACTCTGTTAATTGTGAGAACAGTAGAGTCTGTGCCTTTTCTACTAGAAGGCCAGTAAGGTCAAATACCACCTGTAGCAAAGGACAATTGAACACCTCAAGCACACTTAGCTGACCAAAGGACCCTTCTGGAAGTTGGCCATGGCAGCATATGCTCTTCAATTGTTCCAAGTCCTGGACATACAGTTTCTCTAAACATGGGAAGGCAATATATTTACCTACCTGCATTGTATCAATGATATTCTCTACATCATGGCAACCAAAAATTTTGAGATACTTCAGTAGTCTAAAGCCCTTGCGATCTAATTCATAAAGAATATTCTTCAAGTCCTTTAATCCATCTAGACAGAGATCTTCAGTTCTACCCAACAAGTCAAGAAGTCCATATTGTAGAGGAATACCCATATCAAGTTTGAGTCTCAAAGTAGCTGAGAATAGATAGCTAGCCTTCTCATTAAAATGACTGTCAACCGACAATCTAAATCTCACCAGATTTCGAAAGAAGCTGCTTTTGCCCAACAATTTGACATCAGGTACATGAATGTCTAAGATGATTAAATTTGACAACGATTCCAGCTCAACAAAGCTTGCATTGCTTCTCTTTCTTCCTTCTTCTTCAATCTCCCAACACACAGAAGTGTCTCCCATATACAACTCTTCCAGTTGGGACAGGCTTGATATTATACCTGGTTGAATAACTTCTAGTTCATGACAGCTGTCCAAATCTAATAACCTCAAACAAGTCAATTGTCCAATTTCACTTGGCAACTCTCTGATGCTTGAATTTGAGAAGCTAAGAATCTCAAGTGACTTTAGTTCACCCAAAATTGACACGTTATCCAAGTTGCAATGATTTAGGCGCAATGTCCGAAGGTTTGCCATAAATCCAAATGATGGTGGTGACAGAATGTTACTCATATCCAAAACACTAAGTTCTGTCATTCCCTTAAACACAGTTTCAGGGATTCTTAGAGATCTAAAATTTCCTAACAACGATAAAAGCTGGAGTTTTGGGCATTCCAGTGATTGTGGAAGATCATCACCGTCATTAAACATCAAGGAAATCCCAGTATATGGTGTCAAAGTGTCCTTCCTCGGCCGCCATGCTTTCAATTCAGCACCTGCTTTTGCCATAAATATATGTTTACCTTTGGATGCAATAAACAGGCCAACATCCCGAATGACATCGTGCATTCTCACACATCCTACATGCTTGCTATCTGATAACAAACCAGAAGCTTTGAGGTCATATATCAAAGAATATGTTCTGTTTCTCTCGTCTTCAAATGTATTGACATTTTCAAACAACCTTAGCCCTATTGCATATATTACCAATTGTTCAATTACAATATCTGTGTCTGCTGTAAAAAGACAACCAAGCAAGAAACATGATTTGGCCTCCTCACTTTCTAAAGAGTTGTAACTCAACTCTATATTTGCATACACTTTGCCATGCATTCCTTTGATGTTTCTTGGAGCAGAATCTTTTAGCAAGTGAAGAGCATCCTTCCACCCATGTATACCTTTCTTTTTCAATGCATTTCCAACAGTTATAATCGCGATTGGCAAACCACCACATTCTTTAGCAACTTGTGTTGCTATCGAACGCAAGTCAATGGTCTCCAAAACATCACCCACGATCTCCCTGAATAGACTCCATGCTTCTTCGTCACTCAAAACGTTGATGAAGAAATCCTTTTGGGTTTTCATCTCGGTACACACATCTTTGTCTCGAGATGTAAACATGATTTTACAGCCCTTAAAATCATTTCCAAAAGGGATGCCTATAGTGGCCAAATCAAGGCCCGACCAAACATCATCCAATATTACAAGAACCCTTTTTCCATTCAGCCTCGCATGTAATCGACCAGCTCTTCCAGCTTCAGTCTCCTCAGAAAACTTCAAATCTAAGAGATCCGCAATTTGTCCTTGGATTTCTCTTATTTTTGGTGCTTGAGACACGACTGCCATCACAACCTCTTCAAATAATTCATCTTTTTTTGCCCTAGCAAAAACCTCTTTTGCAATTGTCGTCTTCCCCACACCTCCAATCCCATGTATCCCAATCATCCGAAACTCATCTTTCTTCAAAACCTCCATTATCTCCTCCATAACCGGCATTCTCGATTCAAAAGTCTTAAATGCTGTCGGGGCAATACCCGGATGAGGGGCTGGATGTGAGACGCCGCCCCCAAAATCACCATCTTGTAAAAGCGCAGCAACAATGGGGTCCTCTTTCTTGGCTTCCTTACTCAGCTTATAGGATGAACAAAGATGAAGACAACACACATTGAAGCAGCTCCTTTTCTCCCCAATAGCATCATCTTCCAAGAATTTTCCCAATTTCTCAACAACCTCACCTACTCTACTAAGCCACCTCTCAACATCTGATTCAATAAGTTCCCCATTTCTTTTGGCTAGATGTACCCTCCCTTGAACCCTAGATCTCTTATCTTGCAATTTCTCAAGTAATTCTCTGATGTTTTTCACATTTTTATTGTAGTGAAACAGATAACCAAATCGATCCGTGATGGGAGGGAATATGTAATCCGATAGTTTCGAAGCAATTGGAGCAATCACAGAACCAATCATAGAAATATAACTCATTTTTCTCTCTTATTTTCACTTTTCTTTAGATCAAAATGATAATATAAAAAGCAAAATCAAGGAGTATGCGACAAGAACTTGTAATGCTTACCTCTCGTGCTTTGCTTTTGCTTGCCTTCCCAAATGAAAAAGAAAAGAACTAGCTAAGTGAACGTAGAGAACAATGAAGCTGAAGACTGAAGCTTTATATGGGAACTGGCTCAGAATTAGCTGAAAAACGATCCCCTGTTTGTGTGTGAGAGAAAGTGAGTAGGAAACAGGGGGAGATTTTTCTCTTTGCTTGTCGTTTATCAACTGTATATATTTTAGGTAAAAAAAAAAAAAAAATTAAACATATCATTGGTTACGTAATTTTATATATATTAATTAATATATTATTATTATTATTAATTTCATTTATTAATTATATTATATTATTATATCATTAATTAGTGTATTAATTATTATTCATTATATTTTTTTACTTATTTTTATTTAATAAATAAAAAAATTATTAAAATAATTTATTTTCAGTCTCAAAATGTAGGAGTTGACCGACTTTGCTCCGCATGTGTTGAAAATACAACCACAGTAGCGTATACTATTAATGGCTTGATTTGACAGCAGTCGGTAATAATATCTATAAAAATAAAAGTCAATTTAAATTGGTTGGAATTATGTAAATACATATTATTTTTTTATCTTTTTTATAAAAATAGTGCGGAGAATAGAGAAATAAAAATATATATTTTTATAGTACACTTTAAAACACTTAAGTTAAATTATCCACTCTTTATTTTTTTTATATATTTTTTTATAATAAATAAAAAAATCAACTTATAAATTATACTCAAAACAACTTTTATTTATTGACTTATTAATTTATTTATATTATATCATCTTTTTATTTTTTTATATATCGTTTCATAATGAATATATAAAAAAAAATAAAGTTAACTTATAAGGGATACTTAAAACAAATATCACTTTTATTACTGTAGACTTTTTCATACCATAAAATTTTTTTAGTTCAGAAGTTAATATATACGAGTTTATAGATTAAGGTTAAGTTTGACATCTTTAAAAAAATTTAAAAAGTTAAAAAGTCACTATCCTAATTTTGGCAACATAGTTTTAAGCCACTTTTTTTGTTTAGTAGCAAAAGCCAAAAGTTGGCTTTTTTGGCTTTTTTTTCATTTGGGAAGTTGGTTTTTAGCCAACAGTGAAATTACAATTTTACCCCTCATGGGTCAAAATGTGTTACATAGGTGAAGTTGTAAATATTTTAAATAAATGGGGGTAGTTTAGTCATTTTATTATGATTTGACATCATAAACAAATATTAATCAAAAAAGTCAAAAGTCACTTTTTACCAACTTCCCAAATCATTTGTCAAAAAAAGCCAAAAGCTTGGTTAAAAGCCAAAAAGCCACTTTTTACCATCTTCCCAAAATAAGCCAAAGTCACTATCCTATTTAAGTCACATCATCTTATTTAAGTAACATTACATCTCTACCACATCATTTTAAACTCAATCTATATTTCATAAAAAGTCAAAAAATACACTTATTTAGAACATTCCAAAAAAAAAAGTAAACTAATATTTTGAATGTGTTTTCATAATAATTCTAAAAACTTCAACTCCAGGCCTTGTTTGATTTTTCATAAATTGTTTTCAAATGGATTTTGATTTACTTTTGGTAATTTTTTTTAAAAAAAAAATTTAGTCAAAAAAAAGTTTACTTTAAAAACAAACCAAAATCTATTTGAAAATAGATTTTAAAAAAAAGTTCACATCTCTACCACATCACTTCAAAGTTAACCCATACCCAACTCATATTTCATAAAAAGTCAAAAAATACATTTATTTAGATCATCTCAAACCATCCCTAAGCATGATTTGCTGGTGTTATTTTTTCCGGGTGATTTTAGATTGATTTTTTTTAAATGACTGAAATTTAATTTTATAAAAATAGAAGGTATAATATGTGACGATCTCGCCATGTGTAATATTTGGTATTTAATTAATTGAGGAGATTTGAATTTTAATTAGTCATTATTCTGATTTAATTTGAGAGTTATAGGAATTATTTAGCCTGATTCGTATATGATTTGATTAAGGATTTATTTTGAAATTAGAAATTAAAAGCTTAAATGGCTTAAGAAGGTGAAATTGATGAGTTGGATCGGTTCAATTTCGAGTATTAGACCATATGGGAGTTAAATAAAATATTTGATTCATTTTAGTGAAATTAAGATTTGATCAATTGGGTCCGAATTGAATTTAATTAAGTTTTGAGGATTGAGAATTAAGATTATTATGGATTAAATTTATTTATGAGGTGTTCAATTTGAGTATGTAATTTATTGATGGAGATTTTGAGCTTTATTTGAAATTGAAGGCTTTAAAGATTTGGAAAACCGAAACTGATTATGGAAATAAATTTAATTTGATATTTGGAACCTTTTGAGAGTTTGATTAAAAATCTGATTCAAAATGAGAAAATTAAATATAATTAATTGAGCTCTAAAGAAAGTCAAATTAGACTAATTAGATTGAGTGGGATTTGTGATTAGTTATGATTAATTTCATTATGTATTAATCAAGATTTATTAAGACTAAGTGTTGCCTAATTAAATTAATCTTGACCATAAATTAAATTGTAGAATGCTCTAAAATTTGAGGATGCATGTGGGTGTGGGTGTGGGTGTGCAAAGAACTATTGTGTGTGTGTGTGTTGAGAAATCAGTGTTAGTGTACATGTGAATGATGTATATGTGTAATGTTTGGTTGGTTTGCTTCAATTGTTTTGCTGGAAGCTCAAAGAGCCGAGAGAAAGAGAAGAAAAACCGAGAGAGAGAGAGAGACCAACTCCAGAGAGAGAGTGAGTTCCAAAATTGTGAAGAGAATAATAGAATTAAGCTCAAAAAAGAATCAAAGAAGGAATGTGTAAAAAGGAAGGGAAAAATGAGGAAAACATCGAGGAAATCATCAGTTGAAATAACTTTAGGTAAGATTTCTTCATGTTTTCATGTCTTGATCTTGTTTTGCATGGATTCACATACTAGAACTTGTATTTTGGGTTTTGTAGAGAAGTTCATGGAATTTTGTAACCTAGAGTTTGAGATTGATGAGTTCATGCATCTATCTTGTATTTCATCCTTGTATTCATGCATTTTCATGATTTTATGAGAGAAATTATGTATATTGCACTACAAGAAAACTGGGCTTAAGAGACGGAACTTTTTGCGGCTGCGCATTTGCAGTCGCAAAAAATGACTTTTTGCGACGGCACAACTTGCCGTCGCAAGAAATGTGACTTATTTAGACGGCACAACTTGCCGTTGTAAAAAAATGTGACTTTTTGAGACGGCACAACTTGTCGTCGCAAAAAATGTGACTTTTTTAGATGGCACAACTTACCGTCACAAAAAATGTGACTTTTTGAGACGGCACAACTTGCCGTCGCAAAAATTAGAGTATTTGCGACGACATAAAATGCGGTCGCAAAAAAAAAAAGGAATATTTGCGACGGTAGAGATTATTGTCGCAAAAAAAATAGAGTTTTTGCGACGGTACAAGCTGCAGTCGAAAAAAAAAAAAAAAATTTGCGACTGTAATAGGTACCGTTGCAATATATATATATATATATATTGTGGCTTTGAGACGGCTTCATATATATATAGTCACAAAATGGTTTAAATAAATGCAACGGTATTTCTCTATCACAAAAAAAAAATTAAAAATAAAAAACGACGTTGTCTTACTCTTTTGAACGTTTCTCTTTTCACCCATTTTTTCATCTTCCTATCTCTCTGTCTCTGTCTCTCTTCTCTTTCTCTCTCTTACTTATCACTCTTCTCTGTCTGTCTGTCTGTCTCTCCCTTTCTCTATGTGTCTCTGTCTCTCTTCTCTCTCTCTCACTCATCACTCTTCTCTGTCTGTCCGTCTTTCTTTTTCTCTCTGTGTTTCTGTCTCTCTTCTCTTTCTCTCTCACACTCATCACTCTTCTCTGTCTATCTGTCTGTCTGTCTCTCTTTTTTTCTGTGTCTCTCGTCCATCTCTCTTCTCTCTATCCCTTTCATATATCTTCTCTATTTGTCTCTCTTCTCTCTTTCTTCTTTTTTTCTCTCTCGCTCTCTCGCTCATCTCTTTTTGTCTCTCTCTCGTTTATCTCTTTTCGCTCTTTTTTCTCTCTCTCTCTCGCTCTTCTCTGTTTATCTCTCTCTCTATGTGTCTCTGTCTCTCTTATCTCTCCCTCTCACTCATCACTCTTCTTTGTCTGTCTGTCTCTTTATTTCTCTCTATGTCTCTGTCTCTCTTCTTTTTCTCTCTCTCACTCATCACTCATCACTCTTCTTTGTCTGTCTGTCTCTCTCTCTCTCTTTCTCTCTGTGTCTCTCATCCATTTTTTCATCTTCCTTTCTCTCTCTCACTCATCACTCTTCTCTCTCTGTGTGTTTGTCTATCTGTCTGTCTCTCTCTCTGTGTCTCTTACTCATCTATCTCTTTTCTCTCTCTATCTCTTTCGCTCATCTCTCTATCTCTCTCTGTCTCTTTTCTCTCTATTTCTCTTATTCATCTCTCTTCTTTCTATGTCTCTCTCACTCATCTCTCTATGTCTCTCCCACTCATCTCTCTTCTCTCTATCTCTCTTCTGTCTTTGTCTCTCTCTCTCTCTCTCTTCTCTATCTGTCTCTCACTCACCTCTCTCTCTCTCTCTCTCACCATGCATCATGACACCTCATCATGACAGCATATGCTAATATTTAAATACATTAACATTATAATTTTATTCTTTTAATACTAAATATCATATTAAAAAATTAGTAAGTTAAGTTATTATAACTTGACTTTCAATGTTTTTTTTTCCCCGTAAATTCAGCGAGCATTTTAGCAGTAAACATGTTCTTGGTACACGCAAGAGTGTCCTGTAACTTTATTTACTTTAAAAAAATTTTTTTTAAAAACTTACAATGAATTGCAATTTCCCCATTAATTTTTAGATTTTATTATCGATTTTGCTATCAATTTCCCCATTAATGAGTTGACTTTTTGCTATTCATTTTAAATTTTCAAAGATGTACAAGTGATTTAGAAAGAAAAAAAAAACATTTGACTGCTATGTATGATTGCTACTTTTTGTACAAGTTATTTAGTATTTTTCATGTATGTATAACTACCCAAAAAAAAAAAAGAAAATCATGGATGTACAAGTAATGTAGTATTAATCGAAAACTATTGTTGATTGCTCAATGACCCAATGTCTGGCATTATATTGAATTGCGTAGGTATATTGGTCGTTTTTTTAACTTAATTAGTTATGTTTGAAAGTTTGCATAACACATGCAAGTTTTTGGTTGATGTCAGATAGTATTGGGATTACATTTTTTGAAATCTCATGTCACATTGCAGGCAAGTTAAATTTTTTTTTTCTGTACTTTTCTCATGTCTGATAGTTTAGGGTTTATAATTTGCAAACAACTATTACAATCTGATTTACAGTAGTAGCACTAGCAGTAGGTGTACATTGCTTGGCGTTTAAATTTTTTTTTTTAAGATTGTAGAGCAATGGTTGGTATGCATTTTAATTTTCTTAGAATGAAAAGCACTGACTGGTGTGCATTGTTTGGTATTTAATTTTAATTTGATATTTTTGGAATTGCATAACACTGGTTGATGCGCTTTTCAATTTTAATTTTTTTAGATTACAAAGCACTGGCTAGTGTGCTGTAACGCTGCAAAATAATTACTATAACCAATACTCAACATTAAAAGTGATCACAATGATAAAGTAATTATCTGTCATTGATTCACAATTAAGCTTTACGAAAGAGTGATATAATAGAAAGACAAGATAAAAGTTAGACAAATAAGAAATGCCCTAAAGACTTACATCTTTCCAAGACGATACTTAGTTGCAACAAAAGTGAATTTAAGTCCAATACAGTTAAAGTCTTTGTCTTATACAAAAGTAAATACACAAAAGAAGCTCTTGCTCCAAGTCCTCCCAAGTTATTGCCTTGACGGAGGCATATCATCAACACTTGAAATATTTTTTCCACATAGGATGAGCCAAAGCCCAATAGAAATAATCCAACACAGTATATGAATATTAACAAAGCTATAAGGTGAATGCATATGCCATGCTCGTGCCAAAAGATTTTACGTCTCTTTCCAAAACCATGCAATGCCAAGTTAATGTCATGATTCATAAATCATTTCGTTTGCAATAGAAAATAGAGCAGTGAATCACACTCTGGGAATTTCAAAACAATACCACATTTCCCAGAAATTTCGTAAGGAAACCGTAAATCGGGACCCATGTAAACGTAGGCTATACAAGCACTATTATTGTCATTTCACGAAAATTTCGTCCGTGGGATCGGCACCCATGTATACGTGCAGTTTTCGAGACTTTCACACTAGATACATAGGCCAACTTATTTGATGTAACAACTCCTTCCCAGATTCACTCATTTTCTCAAAACAGTAACATTTTCAATGTATAAGTGTAAGACAATGCTCAATGTACAAGAATAAGAAAAATAGTTTCAATTTTCCTAATTCACATGCAATTTCCACAACACTCATACCTATCCTCCACCAATAGCCCAAAAACAGATATTTCTAAACAGATAAACAATTATCAATAAAGATAAACTCTCTAAATTTTCAAGAGGTGAGTGATAATACATATCTAACTCCACCATCCTTATCAACATCAATCCAATTTCACAATTCCAATATCAATCTCATAATTATATAAAATCAATAGTTGAGGCATTTAGGGAAAAATCCATTTTCTTTCCAAAATCAATCCCAACATTCAAAATCAACAATTTGATTCCGAACTCAACATTATTTTCCATATGAAAATCATTTTCAAGGCTTCATTTGAAAAATCCCTCTTTTGATTGTTACCCAAAACCCTAGATTGTTCCAAATCTTCTAAAATCTCAATATTGTTTAGAAATAACAAATAGCTAAGTTAAAACTCATAAAGAGAGTAGAGATATCCCTACCTCAAACTTAGAATATGATTGAAAGAAGGATGAAAACTCAAAGATGCTGAAGTTCAACTTTGCTCCGATTAGAACGAAGCCCTCATTACGCTTTAGAGAGAAAGTGTGAAAAGATCGACGAATCTAGATGTTTTCAAGGGAAATAGATGAGTTTTAGAGTGAGAAATCAAAAATGATAATGTAAATTTATTTAACTGAATATATGGAACCTTTTGGGAGTTTAATTAAAAATCTAATTTAGAATGATAAATTAAATGAAATTAATTGGGCCCTGATGGAAGTCAAATTAGACTGATTAAATTATGTATGATTTATGATTAGTCATAATTAATTTAATGATGTGCCAATTGAAATTTATTAAGACTAAGTGTTACTTAATTAAATAAATCCTAAACATAAATTGAATCTAGGATTAAGAAGGTATGTGGGCGTGGGTGTGGGTGTGGGTGTGGGTGTGGGTGTGCAAAGAACTATTGTGTGTGTGTGTGTTGAGAAATCAGTGTTAGTGTACATGTGAATGATGTATATGTGTAATGTTTGGTTGGTTTGCTTCAATTGTTTTGCTGGAAGCTCAAAGAGCCGAGAGAAAGAGAAGAAAAACCGAGAGAGAGAGAGAGACCAACTCCAGAGAGAGAGTGAGTTCCAAAATTGTGAAGAGAATAATAGAATTAAGCTCAAAAAAGAATCAAAGAAGGAATGTGTAAAAAGGAAGGGAAAAATGAGGAAAACATCGAGGAAATCATCAGTTGAAATAACTTTAGGTAAGATTTCTTCATGTTTTCATGTCTTGATCTTGTTTTGCATGGATTTACATACTAGAACTTGTATTTTGGGTTTTGTAGAGAAGTTCATGGAATTTTGTAACCTAGAGTTTGAGATTGATGAGTTCATGCATCTATCTTGTATTTCATCCTTGTATTCATGCATTTTCATGATTTTATGAGAGAAATTATGTATATTGCACTACAAGAAAACTGGGCTTAAGAGACGGAACTTTTTGCGGCTGCGCATTTGCAGTCGCAAAAAATGACTTTTTGCTACGGCACAACTTGCCGTCGCAAAAAATGTGACTTTTTTAGACGGCACAACTTGCCGTTGCAAAAAAATGTGACTTTTTGAGACGGCACAACTTGCCGTCGCAAAAATTAGAGTATTTGCGACGACATAAAATGCGGTCGCAAAAAAAAAAAGGAATATTTGCGACGGTAGAGATTATTGTCGCAAAAAAAATAGAGTTTTTGCGACGGTACAAGCTGCAGTCGAAAAAAAAAAAAAGTTTTTGCGACTGTAATAGGTACCGTTGCAATATATATATATATATATTGTGGCTTTGAGACGGCTTCATATATATATAGTCACAAAATGGTTTAAATAAATGCAACGGTATTTCTCTATCACAAAAAAAAAATAAAAAAAAAAAACGACGTTGTCTTACTCTTTTGAACGTTTCTCTTTTCACCCATTTTTTCATCTTCCTATCTCTCTGTCTCTGTCTCTCTTCTCTTTCTCTCTCTTACTCATTACTCTTCTCTGTCTATCTGTCTCTCCCTTTCTCTATGTGTCTCTATCTCTCTTTTCTCTCTCTCTCACTCATCACTCTTTTTTGTCTGTCTGTCTGTCTCTCTCTCTGTGTCTCTGTCTCTATTCTCTTTCTCTCTCTCACTTATCACTCTTCTCTGTCTATCTGTTTGTCTCTCTCTCTCTTTTTCTCTGTGTCTCTCATCCATCTCTCTTCTCTCTATCTCTTTCATCTATTTTCTCTTTCTTATTTTTTTCTCTCTCGCTCTCTCGCTCATCTATTTCTGTCTCCCTCTCGTTTATCTCTTTTCACTTTTTTTTTCTCTCTCTCTTTGTCTATATATTTTCACCCATTTTTTCATCTTTATCTCTCTCTTTTCTTCCTCTCTCTCACTCATCACTCTTCTCTATCTGTCTGTCTGTTTGTCTCTCTCTCTTTGTGTCTCTCATTCATCTATCTCTTCTCTTATCTCTTTTCTCTCTTTGTCTCTTTCGCTCATCTCTCTTCTCTCTATCTCTCTCACTCATCTCTCTTCTCTCTATCTCTCTCACCTCTCTCTTACTCATCGCTCTTCTCTCTGTCTCTCTCGTTCATCTTTTTTCTCTCTATGTTTCTCTCGCTCATCTCTCTTGTCTCTATCTCTCTCGTTCATCTCTCTTCTCTTTTTATCTTTTTTTCTGTCTTCCACTCTCTATCTCTTTCTCTTTTTGTCTCTCTCTCTCTCCTCTATCTGTCTCTCACTCATTTCTCTCTCTCACCACCCATCTCCTCCACCACCTTCACCACTACTGCAAACGCCATTTCACTACCACCACTACTGCCACAGTCGCCACTTCACCTCCACTTCACCTCTACTACTACTACCACCATTACCTCTCCTTCACCCCTGTCACTCCATCTACTCTACCACTGCCACAACTTCACCACTAATCTCATTCGCCGCCGCCACCACCACCATCATCTCTTATCAATCACCTTCACCACTACTGTCGCTCCCTCCCCTCTACCACAAAATATTACCTTTACTTCTACCAAATAAAAAATAATAGTAATTTTTTTTCATTAAAATAAAAATAAAACAAATAAATTTTCAATCTTAATAACTAATTTTTTTTTTAAAAAAAAAATTCATTAACTACAAAAAATAATTTATTTTAACAAAAAATAATTTTTTTTGGCAACACAACTTCCGTGACTGATTTATGTGTTCAGATACTTATTACTCCCCTAATAATCATACTGATTCACCCTAATTAACCAATTTTAACAATCTTGTTGATGATAATGATGATGATGATGATCAGTACTGAAAGATATCAGCAGTAGCCATGATGGGTTGTTGATTAAGATATATCAAGTTCCAAGAATTCCCAAAAAAAAAAAAAAAAATCCCTAATCTCAAAGCCCCCTTCAAAGCCCCCTCCTCCCAAAACCAAAAATCCCTAATCTCTTGCCAAGTCATTCTCTCACATGCTTAACTTGCCTAACCTCGCTGAGGAGGTTCAGATTGCTTGCCGTCGACGAATCAAGTTGAAAAAGGGGGATTTTGCTTAGGAGAACTCGGCAATGACTGAATCAGACATTGAAGAAACTCTCAAGAGACTTGTGGGGGAACTGAAGAAATCTCCTGAAGAAGTTTTTGATGCTCTGAAAAATCAAACTGTCGATCTGGTCTTCACTGCTCACCCTACTCAATCTGTCCGCAGATCTTTGCTTCAAAAGCACGGAAGGATTGTCATTAAATAGTTTGTAATCTTTCATTTGTGTTGTCAACGTGTTATAATCTTTGATGCTATGAATTGTTTTTTATTTGCTTTGATCAATCCCTTATTTTTTTCAGTCAGGATTCGTAATTGTTTAACCCAATTATACGCCAAAGATATCACTCCTGATGATAAGCAAGAACTTGATGAGGCTCTACAGAGGGAGGTAAGTTTGACTGCATAATGCATTAGCTTATGCATACCATCATGCTTTGGCATTTTTCCCAATACGTGACTTCTCACAGATTTACCATAATGCACTAAATATCAGGAACATCAATTATGAGTTGCACCACCCACCATTGTCATTAGATTGAGAAGGGTTAGGTGGACAGAAGTTTGTAGCAGTCACAGAGTCACTTTAGTAGACTAAAACTCAAGATAAGTAAGATGCGAAGTTATAGGTCAAAGCAATGCAATTTTGTTCTGCAAAATCAACAATTCTAAAATCACATATTTTTTTATTTATTTATTTACAGGTAAGTGCTCAAAATAGCAACACTGCATATTCATCTTAGACAATAAAGTTAATATATTAGACAATAAAGTTTGAGGCCTCAGTTTTTAGGAGTCTTGTATGTCTTTTAAGCCTTTTAAATTTTGACATAGCCTCAGGGTTGTAAGAGAGTTTCTTTTGGTTTGTTATGTTTTCTTTTGTATGATTCCATGAAGAGATTTGTTGCCTAATGCATTTTTCATCATGTGACTCCTGAGGATGTCTTTTGCATCATTGTATATCTTTATTGTTTAGTATATTAACCTTCTACTTACGAAAAGAAACAAAAATATCAGACAGTTTCAGGACCCGAACTCAGAAGTAGAAACTTTGTATGCATAGATTAATCTGAAAATAGGGACTGCAATAGGAAGTTAGTGGCCTAATTCATCAGGAATTATAAGACAGAATGCACCATGTATTTTATCCAGCAAACCAACAGAAGAATGTCTCTTAATCCAAAATGAAACAAAGTCATTTACCATAAAGGAAGCACATCGACTGTAAAGATTTTGTACACGGGGAGGGAAAAAAAATTTGAGAGAGAGAGAGAGAGAGCAAAAACCAAAGTATGTTACAAAAGAATTTTAGTATCATCCTACCTTGTCTACAGTTTTGATCTCAAGAACATTCCGTATTTCAAGGAGTTGCCGTTACACGTTTTCATTCAAATTCAGTCAAACACATCAAATCATTTCTACAAAATTATTTATTATAAGTCAGAAAATTTATAGCAAAAGAACAAAACAGTTCACCAGAGTAATGATATTACAAGCAAAGACGCAATTCATTCTATATCTTAATAGACAACCAATTTGATTACCAATTAATATTCCCTTGCCAATTTCTCATACAGTTTAACTACGAACACAAAAATCAAATAAACCCATAAAGATTTTACAGAATACGTTGTTTGTGCCAGATTCAATTATAGAAAATTTTATCGATTCATACATATTCCGTGACTGATTTATGTGTTCAGATACTTATTACTCCCCTAATAATCATACTGATTCACCCTAATTAACCAATTTTAACAATCTTGTTGATGATAATGATGATGATGATGATCAGTACTGAAAGATATCAGCAGTAGCCATGATGGGTTGTTGATTAAGATATATCAAGTTCCAAGAATTGTTCATGAAACTATCAGGACTGGTCTCAAAACCTTAAATCTCACAGATTTCTTTATTTTTAATCATGCACCCAAATTTTATACTGTTACTTCTTGGTAGAAGTAATGTTTTGTAATGCATGTCACTCTCTAACATGGCTGATCAATATGGAGATTTATTTATTTATACATGGAGAGAGAGATTGATGGAGAAAAAAATAAGATGCTCGCTTACCTGTGTTTGTGTCTTTTTTTTTGGGTGTATGGAGGTGATATGACAATCAAATTAGGGATTAGGTGAGTCCACAACCATGAGAACTACTCTTTAGTCCAAATTAATGAGTTTGCTTCGCAGTTGGTAGTATATTGAGACAAAATGATAGAAAAATTTGAATAAGGAAAATTTTGTCCCATAAAATTAATTACAAGTACGTGGAATTAAATTTTGATTCAACCCGAGCTCGCGTTCTACAGACATATAAAATGTTGCATTATTATTATTATTTTTATTGCTTTCATAATAATCATGTTTGCATTTTTTATTTCAAATTTTATAATGTTTGATTAAGAGAGGGTTTTACAAGACAACAACCATCTGGATTAAGGTCTACCAGATTTGCAATTTTTTTATTCTAAACAAAAGGGGTAAAAAATGTGTTGTTTGGTATACGCTTTTTGAATCAAATCATATGGGCAAGGAATCAAGGCAGATACAAAATTGTTCTAAAGAATCATCATTTTGGGTATTTTTGATTGTGACTTGAGAGACGACCCAAGTAGGATTTGGTTGTGACTTGACATTTTCTACATTATCTTGGTATTTGGTTGTGATTGGATTTTGAATTTATTTTGAATGTGTTTGTGTGGTATAAATTGAATTGATGAAGTGTAAGGTTTATATATAAAATAAATTTGAGTTATTAATTTTTTAGGTAAATTTTGGATTTCTAGTATTGTTGATTTGAGATATGCATAAATTTGGAATTCATGATCAATAAAATTTGTATTATTGTAAATTTTATGTGTGCACAAATTTAATGACTGTCTCTGAATGGTATGTTAATTGATCAACATTTTTAAAGAAATTAATTCTTTTATAAAATAATATATAGTTGTGTATTCAATCAAATTATTCATTTATTTGAGGATATAGAACCTTTGTTGTTAATTGGACATGTTTTCACTATGGTATTTTTGGAAGATGAGATTATTACTCGGTGCTAAGATGTTTTGGAAACGTTCAGATTACCAAAGAAAGATAACATATGAAACTTATGATTGGCAAGTGGGGATGTAGCTCAAATGGTATGCGCTCACTTTGCATGCTCCAAAATTTTACTTTTTTTTTTTTTTTTTGTAGTTTTGTTTCTAGCTTTACTGGTTCACCAAATCAAACAGATCTTATGCTGAGAGTTGGGAGATCGTCACTTTGTTTCTCGTCCTCAACGAAGCTTTCAGTTCTAGAATTAAACTATTTGATTTTTGCTGAAACGTAATCCTTCCATCCATCTCATTGCACATTAAATTCATTTTTCCATTCAACTTTGTTTAGCTTGGAAAATAAAAAACAAGTATTTTTTGAGAGGTGACTATTGTTTAATTTTACTTTTTTGAATTTTGCAAGTGAAAGTCAAAATTTATTTTATATTGGATTTTGGGCAATGTAAATGATGAAGTTTAATCCCAAAAAAAAAAAAAAAATCTCACATCAAAAGTAGTACAGAATCTTATCATAACAATCGAATGGAAAGAAGTTTGGTTTGATGAAGATGTAATAAACAAAACAATTGACAGTCTGTTAAGACAAATAGAATCGTTAGTATTTATTATGTCCATCTAATCACTTTATGTCAAATAGAGAATATTTATTTATTTCCCAACTTCATCCAAAAACTTAAATTTTGATTTTTTTTTCTTCTGATTTTTTAGATAACCAAATAAAAGTTTTAAATTTTTTAAAAAATTGAAGTCAGAATTTAAGAATCAAACAGGGTGATTAGTTTTTGTTACAGTATTAAAATTTATAAATTTTTTTTTTTGTATTTGATGCTATAGTAAAATTTTTATTTTTGTATTTGATTGAGATGTTTAATTATCCATGTGGGATTTGATGACTAACAAAAAAAATGTTGTATTTGATGCTATAGTAGTTAAATTTTTATGTTTTTTTGTAATTAACATTAACACATAATTATATTGTCATTAATTATTTTTATTTTTATTTTTAAGATATTTTCCATGTAAGAGTGTGCTTCTTGTGAAATGCATGCCTATGGAGAATGTGGCTAATTTTTGTTTTTGTTATCTACGAAGAATGATGAGAAAAATATTTAATTTTGGTTTATGTTATTTTGAATTATGAACAAAACCATGTATTTAAACATTATATATGTATAATGGAACATTATGTAGTGGGATAATTTTGTTGATGTGTAATCATGAATGGAAGAATATTTTATTATGAAGAAATTATTTTTATACAGGAATTTTTATATTATTATGCAATTATTATGGAGAAATTTTAATGTTTTTAATAATTTTATCGGAGGATGTCTTTTTCTTTTTTGTGACAGCACTACACCGTCGCAAAAAACAGAAAATTTTAATATTTTTATTGATTTTGTTATAGGTTTTACTTTTTGCAACGGCAATAAACTGTCGCAAAAAATAGAAATTTTATTATTTTTTAATACTTTTTGCGACGGCAGTACACTGTCGCAAAAAATAGAAAATTTTCATATTTTTAATACTTTTTGCGACGGTACCACACCGTCGCAAAAACAGTGTTCTTGCCATCGCAAAAAAAAAAAGACTATTAGCGACGACAGTTTTTGCCATCTCAAATAACATTTTTAACGACGGTAAAATAGTGCCGTCGTAAAAAGTCAAGAAATTTCAAACATTATTAGCGACTGCAAAGTACCGTCGCAAAAGGCAAAAATACCGTCGCAAAACATGTGCCGTCGCAAAAATTCTTTTGCAACCCCCCTAGTTGCGACTCCCCTCTTGCCATCGCAAAAAGTTTTTTGCAACAGCATTAAGAGTATTAGCGACGGCATTTTACCGTCGCAAAAAGCTGAAATTTTAGTAGTGAATCATATTTTGTAAGATCTGGCATGTGTATTTGAAGATGCAAGAAATTCATCATATATAAAATAGTGAATGAGAAATCTTGAAAATTTATTTTTGTTTTGAATCTTGAATAAAGCTTTCAATTGATGTTATCTAACATATTTTTAGAACTTTATGACTCATTTTATGAAAGGAATTTGAAGTTTGTTGATGATTTTTAAAGATGAGTTTTCATGTTAAATTTACGAATCAGAAAACTTGGAGATTGTTTTGAATATTGAATTATTCTCTCAATTGAAGTTATTTTACTTATTTTTGGATATTTGGGACTTTATTGAGGTTGATTAATTTGAGTTTGAGAATATTATTTTGAAGATGAGTTTATATACAAATTTACGAAGCATAAATAATTGAATTAGGCTTAATTTATGGATTAAGTTTTCAATTGACCATGTTTTTCATGTTTTCTTGCGTATAGGACCCCTCATATAGCGATATTGGTTTTGACCCGACACTTGTAGTAGTCCGAACTCGGGTTTATGGTTTCTAAATGTTGTTCATTGTCATTTTCTCTTTATTTCTCCTTAAATTTGATTATTTGGACGTGTTGAGCGTGTTCAGAACAAGTGGGTTGCTTGGTTTTCAAACCTTAAGTTTCCTAGATTTTTGGTCCTCTGCTCAAGTGGCCCTTTTTGTGCTTGAGCGGGATTTGCACACTCTCAGTACCTTGTACGTCTGTAAAAGTACTGAAAGAATGTTTTCTACGCTCGAGCGGCGTTTCTTATGCTTGAGCGGTGGGCGCTCGAGCGGTCTTTCCTGCACTCGAGCAATTTGTCTGTTGTCTGCAAAAGTACTGGATATGTGTATTCTGCGGTCGAGCGGGTCACTTTTGCTCGAGCGGAACAACTTATTATGTTTGACGCTCGAGCATCAACTCTTGCGCTCCAGTGGACTGTGCGTATATTAGATCACGAAAATGACTTTTTATATCACTTTTTCAAATCTTTTCTTCCGAAAACCCTAAAGTGAGACACTCTCTCTCTAAAGTACTCTCTCTCACTACATTTTCTTCTTGATCCGTTGATCTCTCCGCTGTAGTGTCTTTGGGAAAATGGTAGAACATCTTGAGAGCTCCGTTTTGATTCGATTGGAGTTTGGTTTCGGCGTCGTTGAAGTTTCGTCCTTGCTCCACTAATCTTCTAAACTTGAGGTAGAGAATTTCTACACCTTAATATGAGTTTTAACTTGGTTATAGGTTGTTGTGTGAAAATGGTGAGATTTGGAAGGGGGTGTTTTGAGCAAACTTAGGGTTTGGGTTCAAGTTTGAAAAGAGGAGTTTCTTTGTGGGTGTTATAAAAATGATTATAGGTATTGGATATGAGGTCATTTTGGGTTAAAACAATTGATTTTGGCCTTTGAGTTAATATTTGAAAAATGATGAGTTTTGTCCTAAAATGTCTTGAATAATTATTTTGTATAAATAATAAAATTGGTATAGAAAATCTAAAATTGTGAGGATATATACATGAATGGTGTTGTTGGATTTGTTTAATCACTCACCTATGGAAATTTGACGATTTATCTGTTATAAAGATTGTATATCTGTTTAAAAATATCTGCTTTGGCTATTGGTGGAGGGTAGTCATAATTGTTGTAGACATCGCATGTGGATTAGGCGAATTGAAACTAATCCCTGAACCATTTTTCATTGAATATGATTATGAATGATATACGCTGTATATGTATGATATTTGGGAAGAGAAATGGGATGTACTCCATGTTTTGAGGAGAAGAAAAGGGATGGATTCTATTGAACTAAGTTGGCCTGTGTGTCCAAGGTGAAAGTCTCGAAACCATTCGTATACATGGGTGCCGATTCCCGCGGACGAAATTTTCATAAAATGGCAAATAGAAGTGAATGTATTTGTATGATGATTTTATCTGTTGGAAACTTGAGATATAACCTCTGTTGATGGGTTAAATACAATGGAGGTGTCTATTGAATCAAAATGAATGAATTGAGATGCGAGTTTGACATAACATGGTTTTGGAAAGAATTATAAAGATTTTGTCGTATGACAATGAACATGTGCATCATACTTATATCTTATTAATTCTTATATATTGCGTTAGTATGTTTCTACTACGCTTTAGCTCACCCTACTTAGGGACCATTTTTAGGTGTTGGAGACATGCTTCCACCGAGACAGTAGTTTGGGGAGACTTGAAGCAAGAGCTTCTTTTTATTTTGTTTATTTTGTACAGCCAAGGGCTAAGTTGTATTGAGTTAGACTCTCCCTTTTGCTGTGACTAAGCAATGTCTTGGAAAGATGTAAACCCGTAGAACATTTATTTTGTTGATTACTATCTGGCATTACATGCTATAAATTCAGGATAAACATTTATGAAGTATATTGCATTTGTTATCTTTTATAATACGAACTCTGATGAATGAAAGCATATCACTTTATCATATTCATTTCTCTTATGAGTTGGATTAGTTGCATTTATTTTAGGGGTGCCACAATGGTGGGTTTTGGGAGTATTTTGGACAAACCTAGGGTTTGGGGTGTAAAATCAAAAGAGGGGTTTCTAGTGAATATAATGTAAATGGTCATGGGGTTTGAAAATGAGGTTATATTGTGTCACAATTGTTGATTTTAGCATTTGGATTGATATGTGGGAAAGATGGAAGTTAACCTAAAATGGTTCAAATATTTATTTTATATAAATATGAAATTGAATGAATGTTGAGATAAATGATGGAGTCGTGTATGTATTACCTCACACCATTGAAAATTTGAATAAATTATCTGTCTTGAGATTGAATATTTGTTTAGAAATATTT